ACCTTTTCCAATACCAAATAGCAGCAATGACTAAAACCTCCATCTTTCTTCTCTGGGTACCAGATTTACCCTAAYAAACCCTCAACCATTAAGTATTCATTTATAAAATATTCCCCTTGTTTATTTTATTAAAATTATTTATCTTTAATATACCATGCACACATTCTAAAAAGCTTTGATGTTTTTACTCATACTAGAAGGTATCCACAGAAAATTCATGTTAACTATGCCACAAAACTATGATTCTAAGACAGTATCAATTATAACATGCATCCTGAACTGCTGAGAGACAAAACCTTCCCATAAGTAACTTACAAAAAATGAAAAGGAATACTTCATTGTTTATTTACACTTACTTACTTTTTTGGGGGATGAGGGTACTAGGGATTGAATCCAGGAGTGCTCTATTACTGAGCTAAAATTTCTCTCTAAATTCCTGACACTGGCCTTGAGTTTGTAATTCTTCTGCCTCGGTCTTCTGATTCCCTGGGATTCCAGGCCAGGAATACATAGGAGAGTATTCACCACACCTGGCTACACTTCCATTTTTTGTGGTATAAGACAACAAATGTTAATGTATATGAGATAACATAACACTCCCACATACTAAATAGAAACATTCTACTACACATTTGTATGTGTTAAATAATTAGGTAACTTGTGTCTTAAATGCTTTATATTATGCAGAAATCCTTGGTGAACTGTCATATACGTTGAGTGTTAAAATGATATCAGGGAAACTGTTCAGGATTTTGTGTGGCTGGAAAATCATTATTATTTTTCCTATTCAAAACAATGGAATATAGGGCACCACTTCCCAAAAAAATAATCACACATAAAGGAGGATGCACCTGTAGACATGGAAACACACTATATCTAATAATATAAAATTAAGAATAATAGAACACAAAATTCAAACTAATGACTACTTCCAGACAAGAAGGCAAGGAAAGAAATGGGGCATGGAAATATATCTGTAAGTATAATGAACAAGCTGCAAAATACATATTTGTTAAAAGCAAAGATAACAAATCACATCTCATTTAAATATTTACTAGCAAGGATCAGATCATACATACTCCAAACTGTAAAGAGTAAAGTTGTGAAGGTTAACTTCCACATTGTATTTTTTATCACAATTCTTTTTTAAGTAGATTTATTTCCACATATTTTAATACTTTTTAATTAAGTATATTTTTTAGTTGTAGATGGACACAATACTTTTATTTTCTTTCTTTATTTTTATGTGGTGCTGAGGATCAAACCTAGTGCCTCATGTGTGCCAGGCAAGCACTCTACCAATGAGCCACAACCCCAGCCCTATATTTTAATATTTTTGTCAACATTTTTGCAATGAGTATCTATTTCTTAGGTGATTTAAAAAATTAAAAGAGGAAATTAGCTCATATTGAAAAGTTCCATTCAGAGTAACATCTAAAAATCTTGAAAATATCAGTAGTAGGCTACCTACCATATTTCCCTACTTCTTCATTTCCATTGTTTCACTGTTCTTATTTAATAGGCACTGAACCCTTATCTTTATAGTAGGTACCATGCTAGGTACTGGCAATACTAAATAGGTACGGTTTTAGTATTCAAGAAGTTTGAAACAGAAGCATTGTCTAATGAAATTTTCTGCAGTGATAGAAACATTCTAATTTGCACTCTTCAAATATGGTAGCCATTAGCAGCAAATAGCTTTTGAACATTTGAAATGAGGCTTATATGACTGACAAAAATACGATTTTAATATTTAATTTATGAACTTAAATTTAAGTAGCCATTTGTGACTAATGCCCACAGTATTAGAAAATACAGGTCTACAGGAAAACAAGAACAAACAAACAGATAGGTGAGTACAATGTATTATGGTAAACAGGAAACTACAAGTATGCAGAAATTATATGAAAGAACGCATAAGCACTACACCAATGGTAGCACAGCTTCTAGAAAAATTCAAAACACTTCTTGACTTGTGAAGAAAGGTAACAGATGCATTTTAAATAAAAGGAACCAATATAAGTAAAGCCTTGAAAGTATAAAGTGACAGCAGGACACTAAAAGTATCTTTGTGTTACTAAATAGGAAAGTCTACTATAAGGAATAAGAGAAGAGGCACTGGAAAGGTAAAAACCATATGGTAGATCAGAATGTAGAAAGACTATGTGTAATGCTTAGAAGCTTCAATAAAAAAGGAAAAGTCATTGGTAAATTAAATTGGTAATTAAGATGATGTAAATTTGTGTACGCTCCTATCTCAGGTAAAATAAGTGTAAATTAGAGGAAGGTAAGAAAATTCTTATAAAAAAACTGACATTACATTTCCACGAAGAAAGTTTGATAATTCTTCCAAAATGAATGAACTGTGAACTATTTAAATAAATTGTCTGACCTGGACTAATACACAAATCTATATGAGTAAATAAACTTTACTGTATTTAAACTCTGAATGCCAAAATGGGCTTATGTTTATAATGAAAAAGAAGCTATACAAAGTAGATACCACCATAAAAATCAATGGTTTAACCAAGGCCGATCTGAAAATCACTTTTTAAAAAAAAATTTTTTTTTAGTTACAGTTGTACACAATACTTTAATTTTGTTTACTTATTTTTATGTGGTGCTGAGGATCGAACCCAGGGCCTTGCATGTGCTAGGCAAGTGCTCTACCACTGAGCCACAATCCCAGCCCCTGAAAATCACTTTTAGCACACAGCTAAAAAAATGCACCTTTCTAAACTAAATTCCTAAGGCTTTAATCAAGTCCATAAGAAATGAAAACTGGAGAAATACTATGCTTATTAAACTGTGGAATACTAGTATATTATCAGGATGCTTAAATCAAGAACCTTCCAAAAGCAAAAGCCCTCAAAGAGAAATTAAAATAGTAATAAATATGGATAAAGAAATTCAATTTTACCCATGAAAAATAATAAAATTTCTTTAACAGAAAATTTTAAAAACCTAAATGAGTTTCATCTCAGAATATACAAAATAAGTTACCAGCATGAATATAAGTGTTATTTTAGTAATTTACTTAATATTCCTTTGACTCTCCCATATGCTCTTAAACTAGACAGGAAACCATATTTCTATACACGTTTTTTTCAGAGGAAGCTTTAAAAATAAAACAATATTATAATGCCAACGTAAACAACTGTTTCCAAGGGTGTTAAGGTGTTAAGCATCAATATATAACAACAAAAGAAAAAAGGAAAAAAAATTTAGCCAGCAAAACCCTAAGATTGTATTTTCCAGGTAAGCTCAAAAACCTATTATTATTTGTGAATAAGGTGACTGGAATAACAGGATATTTTTAGTGCAGCATGAGCTAAGAATAAGCAAATCTCTTTACATGTAAAGCACAATTCCATTTTACTCCTTTCTTAAGTAGAAATTTTGGAATTCTATGTGAATATGGTTCCATGAGGCAAATTAACTGTACAATTACTGTACAATCACAACAAATGTTCTCTACTCACACTTTACAAACTGAATAGTGAGTACTGAAATGCCACATAACCTACAATTTCAATATTCTTAAAATAATTTAGCAGAACCTACCAAAAGATGTAAAGGCCCAAGAAATATGATCAATCAAAATCTATGAGCCAAGCTTATTGGAAGTGGTTATAAGGCAGAAAGAGATACACCAAGTACAAATAATCAGTAAAGTCTATATTGGTCAAGTCTATAGAACAAATCAGAAAAAATGGTTACAGGAAGAAATAATTCAGCATAGCTCCAGCTTACTCTGGCTTATTAAAATCATAAAGATCTGGCAAGAAACTTCACAAATCAAGTTAGACCAAACTCTAAAAAGATTAAATATGAACTTATCTTTTATCAGGGATAGTGCCCAAACCAAAACTCATAATCAAAGGCTCTTTGCTAATACACACTGTGAAAAACTCAAAAGTTTCATTTTTCTCCACTGTTCACTCTCCCAATTTCAGGGAAAAAAAGGATTAACTGCACTAAAACAACTGACTGGAGTTGAGTAATGAACCAAAGCTGCTGTTATCACACTAGTTACCTTTGACAAACTAGAGGGAATGAAACTAGTGGGGTGAGAGAAAAAGGCTGACACATGTCTGTGCAGAAAGCCTTAGAAATGTATTTCTCCTATTTGAGCTTTAAACTATTTTCTATTCTAGATTATTACATGATTTAATAAAGAGTCACTATCAAATGAATAAAGCAACTTTCCTTTAAAAAACTAAAGTCTAATGTTTGGTTTACAAAAATCACTGTTTAATAGCATTATCTTTAAAATTCACCTTCTTTATTCTTTACAGTGCTGGGGATTGAACCCAGGGCTTGACTCATGCTAGGCAAGTGCTCTACCACTGAGCAACATCCCAGTACTAATATTCACCCTTTTTTAAAAGTTCAAAAAGAAATAGGAATGTTACATTTCAACTATCTTTTTGGCATCCCTACATACTATATAAGGGATGGATATTATTAACCAACCTATTAAACGAGAAACAAGACTCTAGCATTGTAAAAACAGCCAACTACTACAAATTTAATAAAATTTGGATCTTTAAATACCCTAGGTGTCTCATTTCTGTTTCTTTCACATTCTATTAAATTCTGTCTGTATTTTTTACGAGTCTATTTTGCAAAATATAACCAGGGCTTAGGTTTTAGTCTCTCAGTGATATGTGTAAAGGCAATCAACACTTTGTTTCATTAATTATTACCTGAGTCCAGCTACAAAGTCATAAATTATGTATCAGATAATCTGTTTTAAAATATCAGAAAAATTTGACACTAAAAAAAAGTACATCATGAACATGCTTTATTTAGAAAAATGTTCCCAACTATTTCAACTGTCAAAACCAATACATACCTTTAAAATCGTAATTCAAATTTTCCAAATTAAGGTGTATTCCTTGGAATTTATTAGTTCCAATTAAATATAACACACCAAAACAGTTTAATGCTATATGACAAATATTTTTTAAAAAATGGAAAAGAAAGAATGGTCTTACCTGGTAGTTTCTTTTCTCAGATAATGTATGTCCATCAGTCCTCACCATAGAGTCTTGTCCTTTCCTCACAGTACTGGAGGCAATCAAATAGAACTGTCACTCAAGGGTCGTGTCACAGGAAGGACCGCCCACCAGTTCTCCCTCTAGAGTGGAATTATSCAAAAGCCATCAAAATTACTAACATGAAAATATATGAACAGTAGCAAAACTATCCAATATGATACATAAAAACATAAGAAAGAAAATAAAGTCATTATCTTATACTCTATCTTTCCTCTTAACCATTTAGCGTTAAAATTGGCATACATACTTTGAGACAGAAATTATTAAATATGAAAAACTCTCTCCTGCTACTCCTACTTTCTTTAATTATAAGTGTCCCCAAATATCATTATCAAAAAGAAACTTAAAAGTAAATAAAAAATTAAGTGGGTAAAAAAAGCTCACTCCTCACCTAATGTATTTTTTCTTTTAAGTATTCTCTGGTTACTCTTAGAAATATTCAATTTAGATTCAGCCACATAAATATATATTCTCCCCCAAAGCTTACGGAATTTAGGTAATACAGAAATATAAGTTATATAGCTATTGATTCACGCCACTCATGAGGCTTATTCCTATGCCATAAAATGGGAATACATTATATATTTTAGGATGATTGATAGATGCAAACATAATTCAATATTCTGTTAAATTTTACTCCACTGAAAAACAACAAATCCCAAATTTTATGATGCCTTGGTCCTTCAGTATTCCTATTTCATGCATACTCCAACAGAATTCACTTTTTTCACATTGGCAAAAACAATAATGGGACTCATTTCTTATCCTAGACAGAGATAAATAAATCCAAAGTAACTAGGCACTGTGCACGTCAGGTACAAAAATCAGTGAAGCAGAGATGGTAGTCATCAGAACCGCTACCACAAAAATGTATATTGAAAATCAAACATTGAAAGATTCGAAGATGGTGTCTACAAAAAAATTTATATAGAYACATTATCAAGACAAATGTCTTACAACTAAATTTAAGTAAAACAATTACCCTAAGTAGTATTTATACCAAATGAACCAATAATGTTGCCAATGATTAATATTTATATTCAAATTTAGAAGAATTATTTATTATCATATAAAATATACTTTAGAAGGGGATAATAAAATCATCTTAATTTATAATTCAAAAGGAGAATGAACCAGTATTAGTAAAACCAACAGAGAGACACATAAACACACACACACACACACACGCACACGATTACCTCTAAAAACCAATCTGCTAAGAAGGGAATAACTGTTTTTAAGGAAAACAAATCATTAAAAAACTAACATTATTAGATTCAATATTTAAAAGAACTCAGGTGATGATTACCTATCTTCTGGCTCCTATTTTATATGTTTGATTATAAAGTCAGTGGAAGCTGTATTTTTACTCATTTTTTTACCATCTTACATTATATACATTAGGATGAGATATTTGAAGATACCTTACTATGTGGCAATACTGTTAATTATTTGTTACTAAATTCATATGTGCCTTAAAAATTGAGTCTATCTCTCATATATAGTAAGGTGGAAAGGTTTCTCATCCCTAAGTATATTTGCAATAAAAACACAAATCCTTTATCATTTAGCAAGGAAAAAAACTACCAAACAAACTGTATGTCCAAGAATTGTTAAGTGACACAGACATTTGGCTCCAACTTAAGTTGTTTCAAAAAGASAAAAGCATTATCATCTAAACATTATTTCTTTTTAAATAATTTAATAYCATAATTTCAGAATATTAGTAAATTTGAAAATCTAAAATCTAAAATCAAAACTCAAGCAAAATAATTTTAATAATCTTAATGCCATACACACCTTTAATAATACAACCTCCTAATTGTACAGAAAATATTAGAATTGAATCCTTTGATGCTAAATATATATTAACAATAAAATTAATATTTAATCTGTAAATTTACCAGATAAAAGAAAAAGCTTCAATTGGGAGAACAGATTTTTTTTAATTTTTAAATTTTTTTTAGTTATAGATGGACACAATACCTTTATTTTATTTGTTTTTGTTTGTTTGTTTTTGTTTTTTATGTGGTCCTGGGGATTGAACCCAGTGCCTCAAGCATGCTAGGTAAGCTCTCTACCATTGAGTCACAACCCCAGCCCCAACCACAGACTTCAGTATGAAGGAAAACCTTGTTCACTGTTTGCTTCCTCCTTTTGGGATAATTTCAAATATTTCATGGCCTAGGGTTTTAATTCATAGCCAACATATATGCTTACCAATAAGTTCATTAAGCTTTTYTGTATTATTGAATCCAAAATTAAATGATGGGAAAAATAATTAGAAAGAAAAAAGAATTGTGGAAAAGTGAACTATGAACTTTGGAATGCTTTCAAATAGCATCTTTTCAAGGGTCTAGCATTTGTGTAACTACTATCCAAGGAAGAATGAAAAAGATAAAAAAACAACAATCATATTTGTTTAGAACTATACTACAAACTCACAACCTCCAAGGGGAACAATCATAACACTATAGAGGAAAATTACTAAAAAAACAGCAATAAAGAGGAGAATCTCAGCCAGGTATGGTGGCATATGCCTATAATCCAAATTATTCAGGAAGATGAGGCAGGATTCCAAGTTTAAGGCCAGCACAGATAAAAGAGCAAGATCTTATCTCAAAATGAAAAAGGGCCGGGGGAAGTAGTTTAGTAGTAGAGCACTAGCCTAGCATATGAGAGGCCCAAGGTTCACAGCCCAGTACAGCCCCCTCCAAAAAAAGAGAGAGAATCTTAAAGCTCACAAGTGTAGGGATGACATCAGAAACAGTTCAAATCAGGGTATTATGGATGAAAATTTTTAAAATACAGAAAGAAAATTATCAACAAAGAATTCTAAAACTCAGCTTTCAAAAATGAAAACAACAAGTACAGTCATTTTAGAATACAGTTCAGCAGTATAAACTTTACAAAATAAACCATGATCACATCAAAACCCATAGAAGAACATTTATACTAACAACGTTCTTCAATAGGTAAATGGATAGAGTATAGGACAGAATATAATTCAACAATAAAAGAGAATCAACTACAAATTCATTCACATATGCCAATCTTAATTTGGAAAGAATCGAAATGAAAAAAGACCACTAATGAGTCCAAAAAAGGCAAAAAAAAAAGGAAAAGAAAAAGAAAAAAGCAACAAGTGATCAATTTCTTTCCTCAGGTCTGTTTTCAAAGATAAAAAATAGTTTTAGATGGAATTTTTTAAATGCCTACAGCTCCAAAATTTTCTATTTTAAACATTCTATGTCTTGATTCAGAAAAGTGGATAATTACAATTAATTTTTTCCATGTTTCCTTTTTTCTCCCACTTCATTTGGACATTGTATTTAAAACAATGTCCAAATATTTTGGAGGTTGGAAATGGCATCTAAAACATCTGGAATTTGGTAGTCATTATACACTCAGCTTTAACTTAAATTTGAATTTAGTCAGGATAAAACAGTTTTTCTTCTTTTCTTTTTTTATAAATAGGATATTATGTTCCAGATTGGCTATTAATTAGAACTACAAGATGTGACAAATTTCACAGAAGCTCAATAAAACTTGAAGTAAATGCACTTTGCCATTATTTTAAAAAGCTGAGATTTTCTCAAATTCTGAAATTATGTCAAGTAACTTTTTCTTGTAAATAAATTATAATCACAAAGATGTATTCTTGTTCCTATAAACGAATTTTTACTTTGATGGAATGAATGAATGTTTTCAGAACTCTACTGATGACTAGTGGTGCATACCAAGGGCAGACAAAATAAATAAACTTAAGAATTTCAGTTTCATATCATATTTGGTCTGAGATTATCGTCACATTAACTTAAACTTTATTCTGAATATTTTAAATAATACTGTTTTCAAAGGATTACAATTAACACATAAAATGAGAAGCTGCCTACATTTACAAAGAAAAATAAAATATAATCAATATTCCCTAAAATCAACTTAGTCATAATTTAATGTTTTAAACTTAATTTTGTAACTGTTAATTTTCTGTAATGATAGCGGCCTTCTTCTTTTAAGAGAAACAAGCCTTTATATTTATTTATTTATTTCCTCTTTTTTTACATATAAAGCTGACTAAATTGGTCAAAGAAATGAAATCCCATATCCTCATTCAACTCTTCCTCTGCTTCACCCATGTCTGGGGCCACAGCAGCAGCTGGATTAGCAGGGGTGGTGGCAGCCAATGTGGGCAACAGCCATGAATGCAGATGGATCAGCTAAGGTGGCCTTGATCTCAGCAAGTGAGAAAGTATATTCAGTTTCCACAAAGCCAGGACCCACTTACACCCACTGATGCCAGAATGAGGCATTATCCAATAGTTGGAATCTGCAGACAAACAATAGCAACACTGCAGTCACCCTCCAGGAAGCAAGAATGCAGAGTCTCCTCTGTGATGTCAAGCACTTCAGGACTGTAGATGCTGCCATTGTCAAACATCTACTGGATTCACCCACAGGAGAAGGGAAAGACTGTCAGCACATTCAGCAGGGTAGCTTCACTGGCTCCAACTTTGTCTCTAGTCTTTATCAGTTACACATTACTCAAGATTTCAATGGTGCCCCTGCAGATTTTAGGAGTGATGCCTAAAGCCTGGAAGAAGAAAGTCTTCTTGGGCTCCAGACCACTGTTCTGAGCTGGCACAGTGACTTCATAAGGTGCAATGGCACCAGCAATGGGCAGCAGCTGAAACCTGGCCAACAGTATGTCCCTGATCTCAGTGAGGTCCTCCTAGGTGAACACAAAGCTCACATTCCCCTGGATATGAGGCAATTGTTTCTCCAGAGCTGGGTTGTTTTTCAGATGTCTTTGTACATCATGGTGTTCCTGCCCATCAGCACCATAGTCTTCCCTCTGAGGGACATGTGGATCTGCTGCATCTGCATGGAGCACACACTACTCCCACAATGAAGCATTTGTATAGTCATTCAAAAGCTAAATAATCTTAAGGAAGTGGCTGAACTTCCAGGTTGCCCTTTCTTGCCTGGGCATCACAGCAGTTCATTAGGGATTGTCACATAGTGTTTAAAGATGATGTCAAGCTCCCAAGGACACCTGGCAAGAGACTGTCATGGAAGT